TCACACACCAATGCAGTGCAGAGTCTGGAAATAGGAAAGCTCAAACTTAAAGCATCACTGCCAGGGCTGCAGCCCCAGTGAGGGGTGTTGTGACAGGAGTTCTGTTGTGTTTCCCTGCAGGTGCAGGAGTTTAAGGTGACAGAAGCCAGGATTAATGAGGCCAGGGAGCAGTACAGACCTGCAGCCTGCCGTGCTGCCCTGCTCTACTTCACCATGAACGAGCTCCATGCCATCCACCCCATGTACCAGTTCTCTCTGAAGGTACCTGCCCCCTCTGCCCTCCTGCCCTCTCCCTGTGGGGCTCATCAAATGGGAATTGCAGAGTCACATTGTCACAGAATCACACAAGGTTTCAGCTGGAAGGGACTAAACCCATCCTGTTCCACCCCTGCCATGGGACACCTTCCACTGTCCCAGGTTTCTCCAAACCCTGTGTAGAAGAAGTTACAGTGTTAATATTCTATTAAACAGAAAACTTTTCATATTGTCATATAAGGAAGGTATTTTGGGGGATGGAGGGTTAAATGAGCATCCTGGTCTACAGTTTCTTCCAAACAATTTCTTACCTTGACAAGTGACCTGGAAAAAGGAATTGAGGAGAGCCTACAAAATGGTGAGCTTGATCCTCAAAGAAGCTTTTCCTTTTGATATCTATGACTCGTTTGTTGAAGTAATTTTATCAGAAAGAATGCAGAGAATATCTTTTGTGCCTTTTGAAAGATTCATCCCTCGCCCATACATAATAGATACAGGGGTTCCCGAGGTCTCACCTTTCATCTGTGTCTCCTGTAGTTAGTTTGTTTTATATTTTCCAGTGAACATTAGCAGTGTGTATAAATACATAGAAAATTATTGGGGGAAATGTTTCTATCTAATAAATTTTGATGACAGATCATAAAACATTGTGTAAAGATGCACAGGGATGATTTTGGAATACTTGCCACACAGCTGGGAGCCCATTATAAATTAGAACACAAAGATTTATGTGCTGCTCTGCAGCATGCTTTAACACAATTTAAAGAAACGTTAAGCAGGAAAATGCATTCTGCAATCATTTAATAATGCATTCAGTATCAATGTTACTTTAATTTGTTGAGGCATCATTTTTGCTTTGTAAAACCCTAAAAATAAGGCTGCCAACACAGTCATGCCTTGTCCAGTTGGTGCCATCAGTGTGTATTGGCCTGGTTATTTCCTTTAGCTGGGCCCAGCACACAGAGCCTTTGCACTGCTGAGCAGGGCTTGGCCTTTGTGCTCTTGTTAATTTTCTTTTTCCAGTTGCATTTGATAATTTGCTCGTGCCTTTAATTTGGACTACTCCGAAAGTTTTTTCTTTTCTCATTTAGATCAGAAATATTTTTGCAGTAATCCTTAACCTCTTATATAAGAAGGTTGTTCTTGATGCAGACACCCACCCTTGAGGGGACTTCAATGACTGCTTCAGCTCAGTGCTCCCTGCCCTCCTCAGCCAGTCCTTTACAGGATCCAGACAGTAAAACACTCATGGGACTTAACTTTTTTAAAAATTGGTTTATTTGGAGGAATTGCTCTTCTCTGAGTTGAAATATTTGTGCAACAGGAGATGTGCTTTCCTCCTCTGCTCCACTCTGGTAAGACCCACCTGGAGTAGTGTCCTGGGCAGGGGTCCTCAGCACAGGAAAGGTGTGGACATGATTGAGCAGGTCCAGAAGAGGTCATGGACATGATCCAAGAGCTGGAGCCCCTCTATGGAGCCAGGCTGGGAGAGTTGGAGAAGAGAAAACTCCAGGGAGAGCTCAGAGCTCCTTCCAGGGCCTAAAGGGGCTCCAGGAGAGCTGGAGAAGGGCTGGGGACAAGGGATGGAGGGACAGGACACAGGGAATGGCTTCAGATTGACACAGGGCAGGGATGGATGGGAAATTGGGAAGGAATTGTTCCCTGAGAGGGTGAGGAGGGGCTGGAATGGAATTCCCAGAGCAGCTGTGGCTGTCCCTGGATCCCTGGCAGTGCCCAAGGCCAGGTTGGACACTGGGGCTTGGAGCAACCTGGGACAGTGAAAGGTGTCCCTGCCATGGCAGGGGTGGCACTGGATGGGCTTGTGTTGGAGTTTTTTCCCATGGAAACCATTCTGGAGTCTGTTTCCTCTGGGAACTCCCCTCTCTGCTGGCTCCACATTTGCAGAGAAAGTGGCTGTGTCATCCCAGTGGGAGAAGGGCACAAAAACATCTCCTGGACCATTGTGTCAGAGTTCCCTGTGCCCTGTCTGTGTCCCAGGAGATGTCACCTCTGCTAGGTTGTGTCCCAGGGGACATCACCAGTGCCAGGCTCTGTGTCCCAGGGATGTCACCTATTCCAGGTTCTGTGTCCCAGGGATGTCACCTCTGCCAGGCTCTGTGTCCCTGAGGAGCAGCCACAGGCAGAGCCAGGGGCTGGTTGGTCTCTGGGTGTTCCCCATGATGCAGGACCTGACTTGGCACTGCTGTGACACCTCGGGGCACCCAGGGGTGTGCCAAGGGCCTCTCCCACAGCCCTTCCTGCTGTGTCTCCCCTCCCAGGCGTTCCATGGGGTGTTCCAGAAGGCCATTGAGAGGGCAGCTCCTGCTGACAGCCTGCCAGGGCGGGTGCTGAGCCTCACGGACAGCATCACCTTCTCCGTGTTCCAGTACACGGCCCGGGGGCTCTTCGAGAGGGACAAACTGACCTTCAGTGCCCAGCTCACCTTCCAGGTACCAGCAGCACCCTGTGTGCCAGGGCTCAGTGCCAGAGCAGCCCATACAGGGGCTGGGGGCTGGATTGGCTTCTCTGCCTCTCTTGGAATCACAGAATCATCACAGAATCATCACAGAATCATCACAGAATCATCACAGAATCATCACAGACCACTGAATCCAACCTGGTCCTCACTTTGTCCCCAGCCCAGAGCTCTGAATGCCACCTCCAGCAATTCCTTGGGCACCTCCAGGGATGGGCACTCCAAACCTCCCTGGGCATTTCCAATCCCTGACCTCCCTTTCCATGGGGAAATTCCTGCTGCTGTCCCCCCTGAGCCTGCCCTGGCCCAGCCTGAGGCCGTTCCCTCCTGTCCCTGTTCCCTGGAGCACAGCCCGACCCCCCCGGCTGTCCCCTCCTGTCAGGGACTTGTGCAGAGCCACAAGTTCCCCCCTGAGCCTCCTTTTCTCCAGGCTGAGCCCCTTTCCTGCTCTCTCAGCTGCTCCTCACAGGATTTATTCCTGCCAATAACAGGCACAGATGCTGCGTTGGATTTGAATTGCACTGACAAAGGTTATTTGAGAGAGTAATTCCTGCCTGCAGGACCTACAAAAAAGGCAAAGCAAACTGGATTGGGAGGCTTCTTGCATTAAACCCAAAGCAGAGCTTGCTGCAGAGCTGCTGTCCCATGTCCATGGTGTTTGTGTAATTTTTAATGTCCAATCTGGATCTGCTGCCAGGGTCTTCTCCTCAGGGTGCTCCCCACCCACCTGGAACTCAGCTTTTACCACTTGGTTTTCCCAACTTTTTTCCTGTCCTGTTGTCAATCTCAACACTCATTCCTGGTCCTCTTTTGGGGCACTCAACACCTCTCCAACACAGGGCACTCTACATTTTAGCCACACATTTTCAAGCATGTTAACTGAATAATAAATCTGCTGAAGTTTGTTGCTGCTCTGGATCCTGACAGCTCTAGGATATCTTGTTGGTTTGGAATTACAGATCCTTCTGATGAATAAAGAAATCAACCCAGCAGAACTGGATTTCCTGCTCAGATACCCAGCACAGCCTGGAGTCACAAGCCCTGTGGAGTTCCTGTCTGACCACTCCTGGGGAGGAATCAAGGTACCTGATCCATGGGAAATCAGCTCCCCTTATCTCCTCTAAAATCCCTCCAGCCCTTCATTAGGTCCTTGTGGCATTTGGTGAACAAAGTTGTGCTGTCTTTGAGGGGCAGCACAACAAGGCCACACACATGGAGAGTTCTGCAGGTCCAACATTGATTTTGAGGGCTCTTCCTGTGCCGTCGTGTGTGTCCCCAAAAAGATGATTCTTCTCTCTGAGATTTAGGCTTCTCCCTGTTAGACCAGACTGACAATACCCTTCAGGGGTTTGTGGTTGTGGTTTGTTAAGGGCATGGAGATGCCCCTGTATTTGGGAAGAAGTGGGAATTTCTGCAGGGATGTGCTGGGGTTGGAGCTGTGACAGCAGCCAGACCTGCAGGGAAATTCTCTCATGCCACTGGGCTGGTCTGGCACCTGCCATGTGTTTGGAGTGAGAGGACAGGAAAAGCATCCCAAAAAGATGAGAATTATCCCATACTTGCTCCTCTTTGTCAACAAATATGTATTGTGCTGGGTTTGGACCTGATTCAGCAGGGTGAGATTTGTTTTCTGAAAAGGGCCCAAATATTCTCCACCTTGGACCTGTTCACTGTCACCTTGCTGGAGCTGGGATTGTGTCTCTTGTCTGACTGTGGTGCTGATCAGTCCCTGGCCAGTGTGGTGATGTAAGAATCAATCTTATTTACAGCATGTTTTCTCTGTGAGACTTGAGGATATGGTTTAGTGCTGGTGCTGGGTTGATGGTTGGATGTGATGATCTTAGAGGTTTTTTCCAACCTTTATGATTCTGTGAGTCTCTCTTACTCCTGTCGTGCCCAAGGATGCCTTTGCCAGCAGCCTGCAGGTGGTACATTCTCCAAACAGACACCTGCTGTGAGTTTTCTTTGTGAGGTCACCCCTCCTGTGCTGCCAGTCCCACTCCATGTGGCTGAAATGGCCTTTCCTGTTCCCTGGGTGATTCCCTCCCACACAGCCCTTCCCACTCAGCCTCCTCTTCCTCACTGTGGCTTTGGGCTTTGTGGGTTTGTGCTTGAGGTGGAAACTGTGATGCACAAATGCTGCTCTGCACGGGAAGGTTTCCAGGTGTGCTGCACACCTCAGGTATCCTCAGCCTGCATCCCAGGAGCTGCACATCTCCAGGAGTCACTGCCCAGTAATCTGCACTAATTTCATGAATATCAGGACTTTCTGATAGTGAATTCTGCATTATCACATACTGAATACCCTTCAGATTGTCTTTTGTGATGACTGTAGTATTGATTTTACTATAAATAATATGGTTGATGTCAACTTTTATTAGTGTTTGTGTTGATGTCTGTTGGTTTATTAGCCTTTGAGGTTTTGAAAATTCTAGTTACTTGAGGCATGGGTTTAGTAAAATCATGTTTTGTCACAGACTGATATAATTAGGTTAATTAGTCATGGCTTCTACACAGCTTATTAGCAGACTAAAATCTCTTTTTCTTATATCAAGAAGATTAAATGCTATAATAAATTGTTTCTTCAACAAAGCTTGAGCAAAGTGCACTTCAGATTTATATTTCAAATTCAAAATGAAATTTAGCATTCTGCTGATTTTTCACAGAAACATTGCAAATGCTCCAGCCCAAAGGACTCCTTTTGCCAGGGGGTTCTGGCCAAGATAGTGCCAAAAGAAATCAATATTGATATTTGTGGCCCATTCTGAGCCTCCCACTTTGGGCATGTTAACTTCCAAGGAAACCTCATTAAATGTTGAAAGCTCTGGGCATGTAACTGGCCTTGTGTGGCTTGACTTATTATTTATTGTTGGGGGTTGATTAATAATATATAGAGGCCAATAATCCTTTGCAGTTGTGTGGCTGTTTGCAGCTCATGCTGCTGGAGTATCTCATTTACGAAACACTCATTTATGATTTAGTTTTCCAGCTTCTTTCAAGTTCAGCTCAAAGTTTCACAGAGCCTTTTGCTGTAACCTGGGTGCCAGGGAAGGTTGGTATTCTCTCCTGGATGAAGGAATCCACAGCCCTGACCACAAGGATGTGGTTTGTAGGGAAAGGTAATAACTTTTATTATATCTGCTGATAGACCAGGGAAAATAGGCACATTTCAGGCTCTTTGGTGTTTCTTTAAAGCTGACACAGAGATTGAATTCAAGTTAAAGGCTGAGAAAAGCTGCTCTGAGCTTGGCTTGATTCTGTTCATCAGTCAGATGTGTGGGAGGGAATGGTACCTGTGGAGCCCCTGTGGAGGAGCTTTGCTTGGCTCTGGAGCAGGGGAGGTGTTAGCAAAGGGTACAGTCATTGCCTCGGTGCCAATCCTGCCTCTGGCTTCCTGAGGGTTAGCTGAGAGCAGGAAGGGGACAGAATTTTGTCATTTAATTAAAGCAGTGCCTTTGCTGAGTGGCTTTGGTGCTCAGTGGAGTTGGTCATTTCAGTCCTACGGCCTCTCATTTGCAGGGGCTTAGCAGTGATCCCTCGAGAAGGCAAAAGTGTTCTTTTGCTCCTATAATGAGGTTTTCTGCCTCTTTTCAATTTCCTTTATTGCAGCCTGTTATACTGTTCTCCCCCTCTGTGTTCCTAGTGTCTGCCTTGAAAGTTTTTATTTCTGTTGGTACTTCTGAAAACATTCTCTGTGTCCATGCACAGCTGGCCATTTCTCCTGGCTTGGTTGGTGGTTCCCTCACCAGTAAACGTGTGGACACACCTCAGAGCACAGTGTTTGCACAGGCCAGTGCAAATGCCATTTGGGAATTCTCATAATATGATTGAATTAACACAGAATCCATGCAGAGATTGTCCTCTGGAGGGTGAGTATTCTCTCAATTCATCTCTGACTTGATGCTCTGTGGTCCCTTGAACCCTGTGTGAAGCTCAGGCTCCCCTGCTGAGCCGTTCTTGGTGATTTCCAGGGTAAGGACAGACAGTTCCTGTCATGGCTCTTCTCTGAGCATGACACTGAAATGACACCATTTGGTTTTAGGGTTGCTTGGTCTTTCAGACTTTATCCAGATTAACCAGTAAGATGAGCCAGCAGTTGTTTGCTGCCTGGCAGCACCTGAGTGCACACAGTGAAGCTCCCAAACCAGAGGCAGCTCACCTCCCGTGGGCAGCCCTGCAGTGTCCTGCCCTGGACATTTCCTGAGAGCAGGAGAGTTCACCAAAGCCAAAGGAGAGCCAGCAAATTGTGTGGCTCACCCTGAGCTGTGCCTGGCCACCTTCTGGAGGCACAGCCTGAGAAGCAGATCAGCAGGGAGGGAACAGCACCTTCCCCTCGCTGTGCTGGGCTCTGAGACCCACAGGCAGAAACTCCTTGTGCCCACGTGTGACCCAGCCTTCCTCTGGAGCAGCCCTGTGGCTGTGGGTTTAGGCCTGAGCTTAGACCCTGTGCCCAGCAGGGCTCAGGCACAGCCTCACACTTGGCACAGTCACACCTTCTGCCCAGACCAGGCTGGTGTTGCCAGGGGTGTGTGCCTGGCAGAGACCACCTGAGCATCCCCTGGGTGAGCTGGGCTCTTCTCCAGCCCCACCACTGCTGGTGGAGCCAGTGGCTGTGCCCTCCTGGTCTTCACTGCCTTGGCCAAAACCAAAACCAGGAGAAGGTGAGGGTTGTTCCGGAGGGGTCCCTGGACCCCAGCCATGCCAGCTGCCACGTTCTCCCAGCTCCAGCCCCTCCAAGCTGCCCTGTGGGCCCTGGCTCCCCATGGGACACGTGGCTGTCCCCGTGTCCAGCTGTTCCCAGCAGCCTGGGCTGGGATGAGCATTTCCCCAGCCTGATTTCCTTTGTGATATTTCCTGCAGTGCCTCTTCAGTGCTGAATGCAGATGTGTCCCACGGGATAAGTGCAGTGAGTTAATGCACAGCAGGAGTACACCTGGCCAGCTTGGATTACTTCTTATCCCAATCATTTCCCTCATCTTTTTCTGAAGAGGAAGAATTTTCATTATGTAGATATGAAAACGCCACTGAAAGGGCATTGTTTAATAAATGTGATGTTGAATAATGAGCTCTAAGTACTGAATTCAGCTTTCGAGGAGGAGAACAGCCCTAGACAAAGTCGTATATTAACTCCATATTTATAATTTTGCAGAATGCAGATGATAAGATTGCGTATGTGGTTTATGAGATAAAATACCAAATCATAGATTTTGCATTTAAGAAAACTGGAAATTTTTTTTTGGACAAAAGAACAAAAATCTCTCTTCCAACTTTCACTTCTTGCACTTTTTAGATGAGGAAATTTTTCATTCTTCTCCAAGATTCATTGTGACACAATCTGCTGCATACATTGTGCTCTTTGTGCATATGCAATGTCCTTTGATCAGGCTGGTCAGACAGGAAAGGCTCGCAGCTCACAGCTTCCCTTCTACATTCAGAATTATTATTATGCCAGAAAATCATAGTCTTAATTAAATATCTTCCATTAACTCGGTTCTTCAGATGTACAGCCTTTTAGAGCATCTTTGATAGAAAACATTGATTGTGACACTTCAATGGGCATTTATCTGCTCTCATCTAGAAGTTTCCTAAGGACATTCTTCTGTCCTCTGTATCAAGTCTCAGAGAAATATTCCCAATGTCTCACAGAAATGCTGCTTGAGAAGGTTTTACCTTTTTTTCCCCTTTTCTTTTCTAACCTGCTGGCTAACGATCTGATGCTTATCTGAAATATGGCAGAGATTGTGATCACATCAAATATTTAAGGACGCACTTTGTCGGTTTGATTGCAGAGTGGAAATTGAGTTTTTCTGGATGCTCTACAGCCTCTGTCTTTCCCTCTCAATCTGCCCTGACACAAAGCCTGCTGTCAACTGAGCATTTGTAATGTAAAAGCCTCTTACCCTCTAAATAGAAGGAAAGGGAAGTAATGGATTCATCCTGCCCTTGGGGCACAACAACCCCAGGCTGGGGCAAAGGGGCTGGAAAACCGGGAAAGGCCCTGGGGGTGCTGGAGACAGAGGCTGGACATGAATCCAGCTGTGTCCAGGTGAGCAAGAGGCCAGTGGAACCAGGGCAGTGCCCG